GCTGATTCCCGAACCGTCTGCTGGCCAGATTTAGAAGGCGACTGGGCCGCATCCAGCCCACGGGCCTTAGGTTGCCTACCCCTGGCTTGAATCATAGAATTGTAGACTTGGAAAGGACCACAAGGGTCATCTAGTCCAACCCCCTGCAATGCAGGAATCCTTTGCCCAACATGGGGCTCGAACCCAGTGGTTAAGAGCGGTAGTCTCGTAATCTGGTGAACCGGGTTCGCTTCCCCGCTCCTCCACATGCAGCTGCTGGGTGACCTTGGGCCAGTCACACTTCTCTGAAGTCTCTCAGCCTCACTCACCTCACAGAGTGTTTGTTGTGGGGGAGGAAGGGAAAGGAGAATGTTAGCCGCCTTGAGACTCCTTCGGGTAGTGATAAAGCGGGATATCAAATCCAATCCCTGAGACTGAGAGTCTTCTGCTCTACTGACTGAGCTGTCAGGGCGCAGTCAGTGGACTTCTCCTAGGAACGCAGGGACATGTCCTGATTCAAACCCATTAGCTCACCAAATTCAGTATTGCCTGCACTAACTGGCAGCACCTCTCCAGGGTTTCAGACCAGGGAGTCTCTCCCAGCCCTAACCTGGAGTTGCCAGGGATTGAACCTGCGACCTTCTCCTTGCAAACCAGATGCTCTACCGCTGAGCTATGGCCTTTGCCCTAAAAAGTAACACAGCACAGCATGGACAGAGGGGGTCATACAACCGTCAAGGCAAGCACAGGCAAGCTTTTTACGCAAAACGCAAATTATTCCCACCAGCCTTCTCGCCTTAGGGATGGCATGCAGCAAGGGGTCAAATATCTCCCAGATACCGGGCTAGGGGAGAGAGGGGACCCAGCTGACGCTTAGCGTTTATCAGGGGCAGTGGAGGAAGCTGCTTCTTCAAGGGCTCCACAAAGTCAATCCCAAGTAGGATTAACCTGGATCTGACTGGCTTAAGGCAGAGCCAAACTCCTTTGGGCTCAGCAGATAGAGAACTGGCCGCTGTCTATCAAGCCATCCCTTCCCTCTTCCCTAAAGCTGAAGCAATGGGATAAACAATCGGGGACAGGGAGGGGGGAACCACGGAGTGCAGGATTGCGCAAGCTGTGACCTGCCAAGCCAAAGGCAGCCTGTCACTGTCAGCCACTGGGGCAACTTCCTTACTGCTCTATTGTCTGCAGTCCTGGATGAGTGGCCAATCAAAGCCCTGGTTGGGGTACCGTGCGTGGCTAGCAAGCACATTTGATGGGGTCGCCTATGCAAGTTGCGCTAGTGGATAAGGATTAACAGGTGGTTCCCCAGAACGACATGCTTCTGAATAGAGTGCGCACACACATGCGCACTTTGGGCACTTCCCTGGTGGTGCTACCCTGCTCTTTAGCACTGAATTGGAGTAAACGGCAACCGGGTTTTCCATTGATTGCTGTGTGTTCTGATTAAGCGCTACAGAGCAGGCTTTGGGGGGATGGGGACAGTGGGGAAAAGACAAAACCGCTTGGACCTGTGCTTTTTAAGCATGGGACAAGCAGAAGTGTTGACGAATCCTCAGCGGCAGACCATCTGCTTGGCATTCAGAAGATGCCAGCATGGCTGAAACCCTGGAAAGTCGCTGTCTGGTCTGCGTAGACAATACCGAGCTATATGGAACAATGGTCTGACTCTGGTTGCATTTGCCCCATACATTCAAAGCACAAGGCTTCACCCTTCCCCCCAAAAAAAAGAATCATGGGAACTACAGTTTGCCCTGTGGAGCTTTGATTTCCACCCCACCCCCCTTGACAAACTACAGTGCGCAGGATTCTTTGGGAGAAATCATACGCTTTCAATGTACAGTGTGGATGTGACCTCCGTATAAGTCAGTATCCTATGCGCCCAATGATCCCTTCCTTGAGCTCAGCACCCTTTGGCGCTGCCCCATGCTGGCGTGCTCTCGACCTTATGCTTTCCCAAAGAAAACGCCTTTATTTGGGGGCTTTGCTTTCGGGGGGGGGGGGGCTGGTGATTGGCATTCCATGCAGAGGAGCTAATTAAGGCAGGCCACCACCTCCCACCTGCCATAACCCTCCCCCGGCTTTCTGCAGCACTGATTTATATGCGCGGAGCAACGGTGCCGCCTACACAGGACCGGGCTCCCCAGAGAGCTCAGAGAAAGAGAGGGAAAGATGCCCGTGGCTGGGGCAGGAAACAGATGCTAAATTTATCTCCTTATCGTCACGTGTTCCTGCCTGGCATCAAGGCCTCCGATCTTCGGGGAGACGGAGCAGAACAAGGCATGCCTTCAGGTGGGGAGTCCCCATCCCAGAGGCAGAATTCCTGCCTCTGGAACTTCGTGGGATATGGGACCTCTCTCACCATGTGGGGTGTGCAAAAATACCAGAGCCCTGTGTAGGAACAGGGATCAGGTGGATCAAAGGCTGGGGACCTGTAGCGCTCCATCTCTGTTCATGGAGGAGAAGGCTATCGGTGGCTGCTAGCCAGGATGGCGATACTCTGCCTCCGTGGCCACTGGCAGAAATGCTTCTGAATACCAGTCAATGGGATGCTCAGGTCCTGCATGCAGGTTTCCCAGCACCCTTAACAGACTACAGCTCCCAGGATCCTTTGGGCAAAAGCCATAGCTTTGAAAGTGGCATCACGGTTCTTTAAATGTGTAATGTACATGGAGTGTAGCTTCTTTTAACAAGGCACACCAAGGATTGAATTGGGGAACCTCCTGCATGCAAAACAGGGGTCTCTGCTCCCCAAACGGTTGGCTAAATGGCAAAGGAGGAACAAGCTGATAGTTTTGGACTTGGACACATAATCATCTGGCTGAGTTTCCCAACCACTCTGGGTGGCTTCCAATCAAGTGTTAAAAACAATACGCATGAGAACATTAGAAGAGATTTGTAGCAGGATCAAACCAAAGGGGCCATTTAGGAGAAGGGGGATGGCTCAGTGGTAGACCACCTGCCTTGTGCACAGAAGGTGCCATGTTCAATCCTCTGCATCTCCAGGCAGGTATGGGAAAGACCCTTGTCTGAATGCCTGGAGAGCTGCTGCCAGTCAGTGCAGGCAACACTGAGGTAGATGGACAAATGGTCTGATAGGCAGTGTCCTATGTTCCTCATAGAGCATCCCCCCCATGGCCAACCATTGTGGCAGCCCATAGGCAGAATATGAGCTCAACTGACCTCTCTAACAGTTGCTGATCATAGAATTGTAGAGTTAGAAGGGACCCTGAGGATCATCTAGTCCAACCCCTGCAAGGCAGGAACCCGGCCCACAGCCATCCCTGGCTGGGCTCGAACCACCAACCTTCCAGTTGACAGCCAGATGTGCTGACCCATTGTGCCACAGGAGGGCACGGTGCTTCTAATACGAGAGGCGATGCAGCCGCCATTGGTCATTATTGATAGCCTTACCCTCCATGAATTTGTCTAATTCCCCTTTAAAATTATCTAATCCCCCTTGAAAGCTATCCCACATTGACAGCCATCGCTACATCTTGGGGTAGCAAATTCTACAGCTTCCCTATGCGCTGAGAAGAAGGCCTTCGTCCTGAGTCTCCCATCCTTCGGTTTCATTGGATGGACCCCATTGGATTTTATCATCATCATCATCATCATCATCATCATCATCATCATCATCTCACCCTTCACCCTGAGGTCCCGGGGTAGGTTAAAAGATGAAAAGTGCTATGCACTGAACCAGCCATTTCAGCTACTGGATAGGTTACAGTCCACCTCTATGATTTGATTTACTTAGTAGTAAGTCTCACTGAGTTCAGTGGGATTTATTCCCAAGTTAAATGTGCACAAGATGGCAGCTTTAATTGCCAACAACCTTGTTTACGAAAGCTAATATATACACTGGAGTTGGCAGGTAGGTGATAGCTAAGGTCTTGTAAGGCTTGCTTGCAAGACCTTAGATTCAAGCTATCAAGCAAATCCATCAAAGTGTCTAAATTCTCTCATCACCTACCGGTACATTGCTGTCTCCTTTCCCAGAAAGCTGGGCAAGAGACGAGCGGGTTTTACAAGGGAGCATAATGCCTCTAATTGCTGTTGAACCTTCACAAAGATCTCCTTTCTCAGAGGGTTCCAAAAGTGAGCAGCTGTGCTTTTGCCAATTCCCCACCCACCTCACCATCCTCAGTTTCTAGTCCCTTCTCTTTCCATTGCACATAAGGAACCATCCCTTGATTTCAGAAGTTCAGGTGAAAGTGCTGGTGCTTATGTAGCCAAAAATGCCACCACCCATGCTCAACTGGTTTAAAGAAAAACCAAGATTTGAAAAAAAGCAAACAAACCCACAATAGGACTATAGGGCAGGCATGTCCAAATCCGGCCCGCCAATCAGTTTAATATGGCCCCTGTGGCAGTTTATTCCCTGGGGTAAAATCCTAAAAAATCCCCAAACAACCTCAAAAAGGTCAACGACTTTGGTCGGCCCCCACAGCCCTTCACTTCATCAAATCTGGCCCTCTTTGAAAAAAGTTTTGACAGGGAGAAAACCTCAAGGCAGGAACGCCAAAACAGCAGTTCAGTGAGGATTTAGCATGCTTGTTGGGCATGCAATGCTGGGGCAGAGGGGTGGATAGAAGTGTCATGGAGCACAACTAATGGGAACACTCCATGCTGCAACATTTTGTTGCAGGTCTTCTTTCCTATATCACTCAAGCAAACACTGAAGCCTCCCAGTTTGCATTCAGGAAGAAAGAGAAGACAAGAAATATGTCCTAACTAGCCAGTAAGCAGGCCAGGCTGTTCCTGTGACTCAGAGGCAGATGTAGCTTAGTTTGGTACATTAGTCACAATCCTCCACACGCTTCTTCCCATTATATTCCTGCTTAAGAGGGATGCCAGCAAATCACATCTTTGCACACGCATGTACACGTGCAGATGTGTGCATGTGTGTGCATAGATGTTTGCACGCGCAGAGCCAGGCAGCGCCATGGAAGGAGAGACAGAGAGGAAAAGCAGTGGGCCCTGATTCACACGTGTGCACAAAAGCCGGGAGAGTATCCTACCTCTCTTCCGCCACCAGGAGCCCTCCCGGACGGAATACGACAGGTCGGCAAACTCAATGTCCACAGCCGAGCGCTTGGGCAAGTGGGAGAACCGTTGGGCTTCCGTGATGTGGTTCTCCACCTTCTTCAGGTGGGTGGTCAGGAGGGGAGCATCCTGCGAGCCGGAATTGCACACCGTGTCCTCCAGGGCGATGGAGACGCATGCAGGGTCAAGGCTCTTCTCGGCCATCGCCACTGAACTGCAGAAAAAGGGATGGAGGCATCAGGAAGCTGTTGGGCTAGAAGTGTCTCTCTCACTCACTCTCTTACGAAATCCAGAACGTGAGCCCATAAGAGGAGCCTGGCTGCTGGATCAGGCCAATGGCCCATCTAGTCCAGCATCCTGTTCTCACAGTGGCCACTCAGATGCCCATGGGAAGCCCACAAGAAGGCCCTGAGTGCAACAGCGCTCTCCCCTAGCCAGCTATAAATATTTCACAGTAACAGCAAGGTAATGAATAAGTCTCTTGGGTTGGGTGCTTCCATGCTGTGTTGGTTAATTCTTGTTCCCACCTCCTGTTCTTAGATAGAGGACCTAACTCTTGACAGCTCTTCATCCCTGGATTCTACATCTAGTTAAGAAGAATGTAGAAAAGAGGAAACTGAGAGGAGACATGATAGCCACCTTCAAATATCTCACATGGAAGAGGGAGTGAGCTTGTTTCCTCCTCCTCTGGAGGGTAGGACCCAAACTAATGGATTCAAGTTGCAAGAACGGAGATTCTGATTTTTTCTTCAAAGTTGCCCAAGTTAGTGACCATTGCTGCCCCTTGTGGAAGCGACTTCCATAGTTTAAGCGTGGACAAAGGCTTCCTCCTGTCAGTCCAGCGTTCAGCTTCGCTGGATGTTCCTGATGTCTTTGTGACCAGAGATGGTGAAGACTGATTGCCTTGCACCCCTGAGCTATGGGTCATCTTTCCTCCCTGCACAGAGACACCTGCTTGCTCCTATGGTCTCCCCCGCCCCCCATCCCTTGGAGCACCAGAGGTCTGAAAGCCAGCAGTCACTTACTTCGTGTTTCAATAATGCATAGGCCTCCTATTATTATTTTTTCTACTGCCTCCTGGGCCCAGCTCCTAGGCTGAGGCAGCAGAACAGAAATGGTCTCCTGCTTCCCATTGTGTCCCCAATTACCCGCCCCCCCCGCCCCCGCTTCCAGGCATCATAATCTCCTCTCTGCCAACTAGGGAAAAGAACAAGAGGAGAGCGTCGGGCTTTTTTTTTTTTGCAGAGAAATAACCAAGAGGGTATGCTGTGACCTACCAAAGGTCCCAAGGAAGTCCATAGCTCCCCCTTATCGCTTTGAAAACATCTTGCCCTCGACACAGAGGCAGGGCTTCTCCTAAATCAGGGCGGAAAACCTGAGACCCAAATGCGGCTATCCAGGCCTTTTTGCCTGGCCCTTGGAGTATTCTCCTTTTCCCAGGCACAGCCCATCTTGACCTGACTTCACAGAACCCAGATAACAAACTGGCAAAGGGCAGGGCAAAAACTAGACAGCAGCCATTAAAAATATTCCAGTGATTCCATACCCTCCAACATTTCTCTGATGAAAATAGGGATGTCCTATTCCATACTGATAATTTTACTATATTTATACCCCACACATCTTACTGGGTTGCGCCAGCTACTCTGGGCAGCTTCCAACATATATAAGAACATAATGAAACATTAAACATTTAAAAAACAACTTCCCTATACAGGATTGCCTTCAGATAACTCCATACCCTCCAAAAATTACCCAATGAAAATAGGAACATCCTGCCATACGCTCTAACATTTCTCCAGTGTAAAGAGGGACATCCTAAGGGAAGGTGGGACATTCCAGGATCAAATCAGAAACCGGGGTGGCTTTTCTAAATCAGGGACATCCCTGGAAAATAGGAACACTTGGAGGGTCTGTGATTCAAAGCTTGGAGAAACATCCTTCTTCTTGTGGGCTTCTCCCAAGTGGGCTGGTGGAAGAGTAATGGAGCAGTCTATTCTTCCTCTGGCAGCCTGCATGAAATACCATGCGTTCACCTGCATGCAATTTCTGGTCGCCTGTGGTGACCAAGTGAGCTGTTAGATATAAGGCTGGCATAAGGTGAAGAGCACAGCGATCATTCGTATTAGAGGCGGAGTGTTACGAAGGTGCACCTATTTTTTAGTCTTCAAAATTGATATACCGCTTAACCGGGGAGGGGGGGGGAATCTATAAGTGGTTTACAGAAAACGGCATAAAATATTCATTAAAACAGACTTTAAAGCAGCAAACACAATAAAATGATCGATATATAGATTAAAATCAACATTAACAAAATAAACAAACCTAGGCAATAAAGTTACATGTCTGGGTAGGCTTGCCTAAACCAAAAAGGGTTTTAGCAGGTGTCAAAATCAATGAAGCAAAGGCACTTGCCGAATCTCAATCGGCAGGGAGTTCCAAAGAACTGGTGCTGCCACATTAAAGTACTGAGTTGATGTTGGTTGGCATCTGAGAACCAGTGAGTGGAGGAGCCCCAGTCAACGCCCAGCCGCACAAGAGCAATTTGAGTGTGCAAATGGACCCAGGTGCCTGAAAGATCGTTCCATTACCGGGCTGTTGTGCAATTGCGTCTGGAGTCTGCAAACGTATGACCAAAAGGCTCCCCAGCCTTCGCCCTTCGTTCCCACCACCCTTCCTGTTCCCTCCAGCACCCGAGAGAGATTTTGTAGATAAAGAAGAGGCAAAACCAGCCTCAAAGGAAAACTGTTGAACAATTCCCATAGATTGCAGCCACAGCAGAAAATCAAGCCTAGCCTGCGCCAACAGCCAGCCTCCATCCTTGCTATGAATCGAACGCAGAGCTGGCCGCTCAAATCCAGGGGCAAAGCAAGAAAGAAAAGGTGCCACAATGGAAGAAGCTGTAGTGCAGGAACAGGGTGCACTGTGCAGCGGAGAAGGTGTGCAAGCAAGGCAGGCTAGGGTGGTACAGTCAGCTCTTACCATCAGCTCTCAAGGCAAAGCATCAAAAATGCTTGGCTGCAGGTAGGCAGGCCACAAGAACTGGCCTCCTCTCCCTGTTCTGGAAGCTTGCATTTCAAAACGGACCCTACGGGGTAATAATAAGCAGAGAGCTGGACAGGTTTCTGGGGAAGTGTGCACCCGTGGGTGGGCAGAAGAATGCCGGTGGGACCCTCCTCTTCCCCCTCCTCCTCCCCTCTGGGCTCAGCCCACTCTGCTCCCTTGCAATTCTTTAACCCACATTTCTGATCACTGCAGTTTCCTGTGCAGTACGGAGACACAGAGAAGTAAGCAGCCTCCTTTTTGGGGGCTGTGCTGGCACCTGTCCTTGACACCAGAAGTGCCACAAGGCGCTGTCTATTTCTCCCAGTGTCCTTTTCCTTCCCTCCCCCACCAATAAATAAATAAAACATAATCAAGATCTGCCCCCGGCCTCAATGCAAAAGCATCCATACCACAAACGCACATTTTTCTTAGTCTAAGTATTCCTTAGAGGAGGGCAGAAATGCCACTGAAAGGGGGTGAGAGGTATGGGTTGGTCTCCTAAAGACCCTCTCTCCCCACAGGTTTCAAACCACATGTGATCATGTTTCAGGGATTTCTTTTATTTCTGGTTAAGCCAGCAAATGGTGTTAAGATGCATTGCTTATTTGCAATCTGATCTCGGATCTATTCAAGAACAGGCCGGTTGGCCTTTTCCTGTAAATCTTGTCTGCTCTTTACTGAAAACCCATCAATTTCCCCACCCTGTGGAATCCCAAAACAGTACCCCCTAGAGGAGGGGCAGCTATGGATTTTGGACACCTCTTCCCAATTTTCCCTCTGCATTTGAGATATTTCACAAGTGAAGCCTGGCTCTTTGCATGGTTCCTGGGAAGACAAGTTCCACCAAGATCACTGGGGGCTTCCAAAAACATGCAAATGATCCGGTAGCGATAATCTTTAGATAATCCAAATATTGAAATCCCTTAAATACGCCCTCCCTTCAGGTGAAGTGATAGTTGGGAGTTGCAAGCCTCATTCCTCTAGTCAAATTTTCTTTTTAATGGCTTCCAGTTGAGGCAATTATTTGAAAACAAAACAAATGAAGTTCTGAAGGCATTTTTAGGGCATCAGAATTGCTTGTCTTCCAGGTTTGGGTAGGATATTTTATATGTGCAAACAAACAAACAAACAAACAAACAAACAAACAAACAAATAAATAAATAAATAAATAAATAAATAAATATAATAACAACAACAACAACAACAACAACAACCCTTTTAAACCAGCTTAATGCAGCCATCATAATCACACATTTCCACCACCCCTTCCCACAATCTTCCAAAACTACAGGATGGGAAGTTGATGTTTGTGTGTGTTGAGAGAGAGAGAGAGAGAGAGAGAGAGAGAAAGAAATTCTGGCAAATTAAAATGCACTCCCACCCCTGAAGCTCATTCTCAGTCTTTCCTGATGCTACCAGAATGAATTCCCTTTCCAGGACTGAGAATTCCATCCTCATTCTCTTCTCTCCACCTGCCTCCCCAAATTTGCTGCATCCCAAAAGAGCATCCTGCAGAGAGGGCAACTCTTAGACCAACTCAGACCATAAATCCTCTCCCTGCCCCCCCCACATCAAACACACAAGGACCTTCTAACAGGAATGCCAAAAAGTTTGCTGCACTAGAGATGGGGGGGCGGTGGCGGGGGGGGGGAGGAGGAGCAGTCTCTCCACCTGCGCTATCCAAGAAGGACAGGCAAGCTGGTCCTCGATTTCACCTTGATTTCAAAATTTATTATTATTATTAATCTTCCCCCCCAAAAAAACCCTTCTTCCTTGCCCCACCTCCCCCCCTATAAGTGAGGGGGAGGGCTTCTCATGCACACACCCCAGCGCCACAGATCTCAGTGCCACACCAACATCAGCCTCAGTTCAAGCAATGCATGGGGGGGGCAGACACCCCCAATAATAAAAGGGCTCGATTTTCAGCAGGGAAGAGGGAGGGGAGGGTGTCAAAAGATGCTGCCTACTTCATCCCCCCCCCCCGCACACCTTAGTTCAGACTCACCTCGCTCTCTTCTCTTCCTTTTTATTGCTGGCTCAGCTCCCTCGCGTCTGGATGTGATGGACAGCAGGCTCCCCTTTTCTGCTGGGGTGCTCGGGGCTTTTGGGTCCTGCCTGCCGCCACCCCCCAAGCTGCAGACATGTGGGGTGGGTGGGTGGGTGGGTGCTGGCTTCTTCTTCTTCTTCTCTCTTCCCCCCTCCCTCTTCTCTTTGCAGCAGCAGCGGTTTTTCCCCCTCCTTTTGGAGACAAAAGGAAAAGGATGCTGAGGGATGGACGGAGGTCCTGGGCTCTCCTCTCTCTCTCTTCCCAAAGGATGCTCTGCTGCGATGGGCTGGGCAGGGCAAGGACCAGCCGGCTGCCAAGTAGTGACTGCAGAGCAGACCGAGAGAGGGCAGCTCTCAGCTCCTGCAGCCGTCCTTCTCCATCCTCTCAGAGGAAGGTGGTGGGGGGGCTTGGGCGGGGGAGACGCCAGCCAGCCCCCTGCTCCCCACTTCTCCTCAGCCAAGCAGCAGCCCCCTAGCAGCCCCCCTGGCCCGGCTGATAGTGGGGAGGGCTCCTCTCTGCTCCATCAGCCCGACGCCGCCGGCTCCTCCGTCTCTCCAGGTTCATCCCCTCCTTGCTGAATGTCACAAGCACCAGCTAGCAGGGCGGGCCGGAGGTGGGGGGAGAGAGGGAGGGATTGCTGGGCCGGGCTTTCCAGGCAGGTTTCTGCTTTCCCAGCCAGCATAACAGCTTCCCTTAAAGGGACCAGCCGGCTGTGCTCTTAAAAGTGGAGGGCTGGTGGAGGAAGAGGAGGAGGAGGAAGGAAAAAAGCATCGTGCCAAGAACTGCAGCCCGGCAGGCCCCCGGGACACGCTCCCTCCTCGAGGGGGCGCTCCTGCTGCTCCCACAAAAACCCCAGCAAGCTGCTAGTTCTCTGCAGAGAGGGCTAGAACGTTTCCTCTTGCCTCCACTTTTAAAATAAGATAACAGCTCTTTTTTTTTTTATTATAGCCTGTCATTGATTTAAATTATTTTCTGAATGTTTTTAACAGGTGGTTGGGGAAACCCAGCCAGATGGGTGGTATAAATAATAAAATTATTATTGTTGTTGTTGTTATTCTTACTGATGGTTATATTGTTATACTGGTGATTATATTGTTGGATGGCGTCTTGTATTTCTCCTCTGGCAACTTCTGCAGCCAAGATGATATCAGGTGTATTGCTTTCCTTTCCTTTGGACCACATCCGTCTTATCGTCTTATCATCTTGGTCATACACGCTGCCCAGGCTTGCCCTGGAAAGGTCAACTTTGATGCTGCTAATGCAGCAAAAACAATGCAGGAGCGAGTTACCAGTCTCTGCAGCCACAGCAGCAGCTGTGATTCTCCAAAAGTTTGACTTCATTGTCTCTAGAGCAGGGGTCTGCAACCCGCTGCTCCGGAGCCGCATGTGGCTCTTTTACATCTTTGCCGCGGCTCCGGGGCGGATACTAGAGAGGGGAGGAGGCACATTGTGCGCCCCGACACTCCTCACTGTGGCGGGCGCTGTACTGGCTGTGACGTCACATGGGGAGGTGCGTGCATTAGTCACGCACCGTCCCGACGTCACCTTCCCGCCCGCTGTCAGATTGCGGCTCCGGAGATATATTTGTTTTAAATGTCGCAATGGTTTTGCGGTTCTCAGTTGTTGTTTTTTCTTCGGAAACGGGTCCAAGTGGCTCTTTTTGTCTTAAAGGTTGCAGACCCCTGCTCTAGAGAGAGAGGAGGATGCCCATTCTTTTTGTAAACTGCTTTGAGATTTGGTCCTCTTTTTTTCTTTTTCAAGACTCAGTATATACATTTTGTGAAATCAAACGAAATAAATGTGATATTATTTATTACCCTCCCTTCACCATGAGGTGCCAGTGTGGATTAGAACCATTTAAAAATAAAATAAAATACAATATTAAAAACAGTGGTCAGCCCTAAAAGCTCCTAAAAGCAAGAAAAAACTCTCCAGTTGGCTGCAGTGATAGTGAAAATGTGGTTGGAATCCCAGCAGCCCTTGCAGCTAGCATGGCCAAGGGGGTGCTGGGAGTTGTAGTCCCACAACATTCTAGAGCAGGCATGTCCAAAGTCTGGCTCCTATTGCTGAAAGCAGGTAACCAGCAGCTCAGCCTTTGCACTGTTGACTGAACACCCCCTGCTGTGCAGATAATGGAGAAAGCTCGTAAATTGTATCCCTTCTGGCATCCTAACCAACTCTATTACGCTGGTGTAAACCCTGGTGCACCAGAAGCCCAGAATAGCAGCAAATAAAATCCACTCATATGTCAGCAACCGATAAGACTTGTCAACTAGTTCTTCCAAAGTCTTCCTAAATTATAAAGCTCCAAAATACAGGCCAAAAGAGAGCAGGTCTGGGAAGAGCGAGGCATACAATGGGCACCACCGGTGAAAAGGCCCTGCTCCATGTAGCTACTGCCCTGTCATTTGATAGGGTGCCCACTTGTCCTCCTTCCTGACATGGAAGTTCCCAACAGCTGTTAATCAAGCAAGGAAGCACACAGGTCACCTTTCTCACAGTCAGGTTGCCTATGTCCTGGCCAGGCCTGCACCCAGTCTTGTTTTTGTATGATCTTGTTTGTCTTCAGTAACCAAAATTATATTATCAACATATACAAGCAAAAAAGTTGTTTTCCTTCATTTGCAAGGAATCATACAAAACAAAGTGGCACTAATAAAGAAAAGTTCCAGGGTGGCAACAGAGTTTGTAATGAAGTGAGAGCAGTAGTTTACTTGCCCAAATTAACAAACAAGTTTTGAGAATTTAAATTCTAGATTAAAATTTATTACTTAATTGAGAAGGAGATTGTAACAAAAGCACTGGGGGCTAATTTGAATAGTAGAGTGCCTGGTATCTGGTGGGCAGACTCTTGTTAGGAGAGCTATGAGATTCAGGTGAGGGTCAGATGCCTTGCCAATCCCAGCAGGTATATAACAGGAAGAGCCGGCCTGCCCAGCATTATAAAAAGCTCAACAACTTTGGGGCAAAATCCTAAAAAAGACCCAACAACTTCAATCCTAAAAAAAGCTTTGCCAGCCCTCACGCATGTTCACTTCATCAAACCTGGCCCTATTTGAAAAAAGTTTGGACACCACTGTTCTAGAGGAAAGCTGGACCATATGGTCCTTCGGTCAGATCCAATAAGGCAAGAATAAGGAACCCTTCAGATGTTGCTGGACTACAGTTCCCATCAGCCTTTGCAGTCAGCATGGCCAGTGCTTAGAGATGATGAGAACTGGACGCCAACATCTGGAGGGGTCACAGGTCTCCTGTAACTGAACCTTAGGGGACACCACAAAAACCACTGAAACAGGAGGAAGTGCATCAGAGCATGCAAAGAGTTTGCCAAGCATCCACACATTTTGAATTAAAAGGGGCTTCTGAGCATTCATAGAAGAGTGGCCATTTCCTTCTACTAGTCTGCAGACTTGATCTTTAATGCACTTCCGTCATAAGGGTGGGAGAAATGTCTCCACTGTATTTCTGCCTCTTCCTAGGGGTGGGTGGTGGGTGGGGAAAAAAGCCCTTGCTAACACGTTATCAGGACTTCCCCCTTCTTCAAACCAAGTCTTCCTTAGGTAAAGGTAAAGGGACCCCTGACCATTAGGTCCAGTCATGGCCGACTCTGGGGTTGCGGCGCTCATCTCTCTTTACTGGCTGAGGGAGCCGGCGTACAGCTTCCGGGTCATGTGGCCAGCATGACTAAGCCGCTTCTGGCGAACCAGAGCAGTGCACAGAAACGCCGTTTACCTCCCTGCCGGAGCGGTACCTATTTATCTACCTGCACTTTTGATGTGCTTTCGAACTGCTAGGTTGGCAGGAGCAGGGACCGAGCAACGGGAGCTCACCCTGTCATGGGGAATCGAACCGCCAACTTTCTGATCGGCAAGTCCTAGGCTCTGTGGTTTAACCCACAGCGCCACCCGCATCCCGCAAGTCTTCCTAAACCAGCCTTAAACTGAGGTGTCACTTCACATTGTTTTTTTAGCTTCAAGTGAACAGTTGCGACTTCTCTCAAACACACGCTTCTCATGGGACTGACAGCATCTCTCCAGGGTTTCATTCAGGAGCCTCTTCAAAGCCCTACCTGGTGATGCCAAGAATTGAACCTGCGACCTTCTGCATGCAACGCAGATGCTCCCCCACTGACCTATGGCCCTTCCCTTAAGTATGTTCCTATGGGCAGGTGGCTGGGCCACCTGTCATTTCCTGACTCCACCTGCAGCTCTATGAGTTTCTCATCTTAATGGAGTATTTCCACACAGGGCCATTATGCTAGGAACATAAAAGACCCAATGCACAAATTTGCATCACATTTCCACTTGCTAATTTACATAGTAACTGAGCAAATTAAGACAATGAGTTTCGGAGGTCTAACTGTCACTGTGCTTTGCAGAATATCTAGTTCTTACAATTTCCCCCTAAGTTTTATTTTTAATGGGGTGGCAAATTTAAGTCGCACAGTTAAAGCTGGTTTGGCGTCCTTGCTTAACAAATCCACTCTTACCTCGCACCCCAAATTGGACTTTTTGCAAGAAGGAAGATGACAGGAAAATGCCCTGGGAAACATGGGATACAGTTACAGTGGTATCTCAGGTTAAGTACTTAATTCGTTCCGGAGGTCCGTATTTAACCTGAAACTGTTCTTAACCTGAAGCACCACTTTAGCTAATGGGGCCTCCTGCTGCCACTGCGCCGCCAGAGCACAATTTCTGTTCTCATCCTGAAGCAAAGTTCTTAACCCGAGGTACTATTTCTGGGTTAGCAGAGTCTGTAACTTGAAGCGTATGTAACCTGAAGCGTATGTAACCTGAGGTACCACTGTACTTGATGCAACATCATCTAACTTTCTCAAAAACAAATCAGTGGTGGTGGACTTTGGGGCCTCAGATTTTGGCGGGGCCCTGTGTGACACCAAAGTTCACCATCCCCCTGCCCCTCACCTTCCAGTCTACATCACAGCTGAGATGTCTCTTCCTGCGGCACCACCGCTCCGCGCCCCCTAAATCCACCTCTGAAATCAGGATGAATGCTCAATAATTAGCTGGCGGTCGCCTAACCCCCTTTGCAGACTTGCTCAACAAACAGGTCACTTGAAAGCAACCTTAGTGTTTACTCCCAAATAGTCATGTTTCCCTTACTCCCGTTTTACAGAACATCTGCATGACGTCATCATCAAATTGTTGTCCTCCTGTTTTCTCAGGCTGCAGACGATATGACTTTGGGGAGAATCAGGAGTGCTACCTGTGCAGGTGAAGTTTGCCTTAGCTCAACTTTCCCACCTTTCTGAAGAGGAATGGCTTTGAATGTATGCAGTGACATATTATGAATGTTAATCCGCCACAACACCTTCAGGACTATATTACCATGCTGGTCACAGCCATTGCCACTGCATTTTTACTCTTCTTTTAATTTTCACTTTCTCGTGTGATACTTTTGCAATAGTCTTTAACAGGGCATCCCTGAATGGGTGACATCAAAGGGCAGCGGAGATCCCTTTGGGGTCATGTTGAAGGTGCCTCCTGCTATTGTTGTGTTTTGCTATTTCTGTGGGTATTGTGGGTGCTCCCTGATGGATAGCAGAGGGAGCTCCAGGAATCATGGAATTGTAGCATTGGAAAGGGATCCTGAGGATCATCTAGTCCAACCCCCTGCAATGCAAGGCAGGAATGTGCACCTGTGCCATACGGGGATCGAACCTGCAAGCTTGGTGTCATCAGCACCACGCTCTAACCAACTGAGCTGTG